TTTTTTAATTCACCAATTTTATCAGTAATTTCAAAAATATATCTTCATTCAAGAATATGCTTCACGCCTAAAGATCATCGTAAAGCAACTTATCATCACAGGTCAACGATCTTTCCACTTTTAGATTCTACTAATTTCTTTTTATATCGTTGGAATAACTTTTTCCAAATAAAATTTCATTCTTTTAAAAGAAAATTATTTTTCTTCAAATCCCAAAAATGAAAGTCACAAGTTTAAACTATTCTCTCTATAGGAGGTTAAGCATTTTCACTCGAGGAGGTCGGATCTCCCGCGGCCAAACTCAACTATAAAATAGTTCAAATTCGCTCTAAAAATGGACACCGCTGGATTTGAGCCACGATGTTGATTCGATCCTAATTAACACTTAACATTTATCTGAAACTATTTCGAATAATACGGTCAAATAGTTTATACAATAAAATGTAAACTTGTCTTGTTTATCGATAGCCGATTTGCTTGTAATTAGTCATGTATTCTTGAGCACTTCTCATCCTAGATCTCACTATTGATAAATATGATCACGGAGAAAGAAGTTTCCTCCGGGGGTTTCCATCTTGACGGAGATTTCCCAAATCGAATAAAGAAGAGCCCAACGCAACGGCACTTCTTGTATTCTAACTCGCCTGCGTTAATAAACAAAAAGCCAGCTTTTTAACATTATACAAAAAGTAGAATATTATAAACATTAATCATCTTCAACCTAGTGGAGAGGTGTACAATGTTACTTAAGTCTATATAAACTTTTATAGACTTTACTACGAATGAATATTTTCTTGACAAAGAAATATCCCTGATTATTTAAATGACCTTTATAAATTTTTAAATTAGTTTTAGAAACAATTCGAGACATACCATTTAAAACATGAAAAGAAATCAAACAGTTAATATTGTTTATAAAGCTATCTTCATACTTTAAAAGGGAAGACTACAGAACTGAATTAAATAGAACCTAAAATTAAACAATTTTAAATTTATATATTTAAAACACCACGATGACCTTTTTAAATAGCTCTATTTTTACTAACTTCTTATATAAATAGCATCAAATACCTATATAGGCTATATCAATAGTTTGTATAGAATGAATTATTATTGAAAACAACATATGCAAACACTAAGAACTATTTATTTTTAACTGTTGAGTAATTCTGTGACAAATTAATCAGGATATATGCCTTAGGAAGTATTGCATGAAGTTTAACTGATCATTAGTATTTAAATCACAAAAATTTTAATTTTTCAGCAAATCGTCATCGGATAAAAGTTAAGTAATCTTCATTACGATTTTATAACCAGGTTTAGTTGAAAATTCACACTACTAAATACATGACCAAACAATGTTAAAGGAAATACATTAACGGAAACCCTTTCTTTAATTCTGGGTTTTCTCCTAAGGCCAAAAATAATCGTATTTTGATGACTAAAACTTAGCAAAATACTTCACAACAAAATGTTTAATTTCTTTTTTTAATTTATCGTGTCATCTTTTCTTTTAACGCTTAATCTGTCCGATTACATTTAATTTTTAACTTTTACGAACAAGTAAAAAGAAAACCACGAGGTATAAAGAATATAAAAACTCAAATTTAAAAAAATTCATTTCAATAATAACTGATGGGTATGCAATAATAAACGCACTAAAAAGAATATTTTAACTATCTTTAATGCTAAAAATAAGTTAAAAATTGACGGAGAGTTGCGTAACTAGATTAGGATATTCTGAGTGACATACAGATTAGAATATTCTCGAGGAAATTTCTACGAATAAAATATAAAAAAATGCAGTTTTGTTGTGAATTGGTCCAATGGTAAAAAAATCGGTGGCATTTGGTTGCAAAGGACAACGCAACGCACCTGTCGCCTCGGGAGTGTGACAGCTGTCGGAGTGAAAGTAAAAATCGCCGCTCTAAAATTGAAATATGAAAACTTTTACTAGAAACCAAAGATAAATAGCTGCAATGCCGGCGACCGATCCGAACTCTCCAAATGCTTTGTACCGAAACTTAATTATAAAGTTTAAACTATTCACATAGAATATGGATCTAATGCACTATAATTCAACAGGTTGAGTGAGCGTAACACATAAATCAGTCAATCGAGAATCAGGCGAAATCGAACAATTTCAAGTGAAAAATTTTCCCCTTTATGAAATTGAAGTGGAAAATAAGTTGCAAAACAAATCAGAAGCTCATAATTTTGTTTTTCTTTTTATAGATTTAATGCTATTAGATGCAGTATAACAACAACAACAGAATATTGTCCTCAAAACAAAATCTTAAGTAAATACTAACTATTTAATGGAAAAAATAATACATATTTTAGTTTTAGCGACAATTCACAACCTTAATTAAAGTAAATACAGATTAATCCTCATTTTTTTAATATTAGATGAAGACGTATAAAGCGAAATGTTCAAAAAGCGCTTATTCTTCACACTTTTTCGTGATAAATTATTAAACTTATGTAAAAAACCAGGAAGCAAAAAACTAAGGAAGAGCACGACACAGTCTCTCCAATAAACGACACGATACTTACGACCAAGCCATTAAGACAAAACCACTCTCTACCTGCAAAACACCGTCACGACTCTAAGTGGCCTCCTAACAGGAGAGCCATAAACAGTTGAAAGCTGTCTTAACATTAGGAAATTAAACGCCAGACATCCAGATAAAAGGGCAACGTTTCGGTTGTTAAAGCGTTGATTCGTAACAAAGACGATTCCACTATATCAACGCTTATTGTAAACAGGATAATAAATCGTCCAATTTTTATCTTCCATTATGTTCTATCGATTCGATTACTAAACTTTAGTAATTTCATATTATACGCAAAATTATCAGAAACTATTCATATGAAATTACTACTCAATTTTGAATCCCAATGAATATGTTACGAATACGTACATATCGACGTACGGCCTGTCTAAATTATCAAATGTTTACGAATAATAAGATTCTGCTTGAAGTCCATTTTTATAAAATTAAGCGAAAGACGATTTTCTCTATTACTACGATTCCGAACGTCACAAAATTTATTATTAATCAACTACTACTCTGCGAACGCTCCGAGCTATAGAGTTTACGATAATTAGAGCCGTTGTTATATAAATTAACGGAGTGACTATTTACATCGTTTAAAGTCCGCATTGTTACCGCCGTTATCGTTGCCAGCAAGGTGTTCAATCCCGTAATAGTCTTAATAACTTTAAATGTCGCCTCATTGATTAATTTGCTGACCATTGAAGTTTCGATAAATAGATTTACGATTACGTCGAAATTAATTATACGAAAAAATATTATATGTATCGAAATGGGAAATACCCAATAAATGAACAAATTTCACTTTAAATAAGTTATCTTCGTCGCATACTCTAAATTTGAATTCCGCTGCACGTCTTTCGCGCGAAGAGAATAAATTGATTTATTTACTTTAAAAAATACTTTTTTTGTGTGACCATCGGAGCCGAATAGTCGTTCGAAACGCGCTTAAAAGTTTCAAAAATAGCCATCAGTTGCACTTAACCAGAAAGAAGGACGATCAATCACACGCTCAATTAAACTGCAATCGTACCGCAAAACAATCATGATGGCAAACCGGAGGTCCGTAGCTCAAACGAGGCGAGTTCCATCACTTTGTAAGCGTTACTGCGGTCATCGTCGCTAAGAAGTCCGAAATGTAATCGAACAATTAGGGTGGAAAGGTCATCACTCCCTCTATCTATTTTTGACGCTTTGGGTGTGTACAAACACGACACACTTCGGTAATAAACTACCAATCGGGAATTAAGAGAGGAGGGTCGCTCCGAGTAATTGGATGACCATTAAGTGGCAATGTTCCGCCTCCATTTCATCTCGGGACTTCAACCAACAGCTAATTATTTACATCCAACAGATGACGGATCATATTCTAATGAATGATCGCGCGGGTTAATTCTTTCTCGTTTTATGCAACTAATAATTCCATAATGCTTATGTAATACACTTTCCACGCTTTAATCCGAATTATTAATGTTCGTGGAAATGTCATTTTTGACGCGAATGAAAAAGCCAATTTTCAAAATTTTTTAAAATTTATTTAGATAGATAAAGAATTTGCTGTTAAAAAGTCGTGTTTAAACTCACAAATTCCTACGAATACATTTGGAATAGCACGTTTCTCTGTATTATAGATAATTAAAATTAGATTATTCAAAAATTATAAACCAATATTTCCATAGTTTTGTAGGATATTAAAAGTAATCTTTTCTAAAGTAATATTCTTTTCAAGTTTATAATAAACAAAAATTCAATTGATTAATTCGTCATAACGGAATTCTTTTAATTAAATCAATTATTCAAGAATATATCAATACATACTTTTATGCTATATTAGTATTAGTGTAACCAATTCGAAATAACGAACAATCTCTCTCCATTCTCTTACCTCTTTATATAAAAAAAAATTACTAGTACTATTAAATTTTTATAAAAGTAATAATGTTGTTTCGTTTATTTTTATATTACATTTCTAATGGCAAATATATATGCAATTATTAATTTAGTAAACTTATTTCTTAACGGTTTTGTTTTCATCAATTATGAAATGTATATATACGTTACAATTATAAAATAAATTATATCATTCAATATGTGGATATTTTGTTATCTTATAATGCAATTAAATATTAAACAAATTCTTACATAGTCGTGAAACGCTTTGGCTTCGCTCGAATGTTCACACGTATCTCTTCTCTCGGGTGCTGCACAGTATAAGTCCCAAAACACACTGTAATAGAAATAAACTTGTCATCAGCAAATACATTAAGAATTAAGAAAATAAATTTAATAAATGAAATATTAATCTTAATAAAATAATGTTTCTCGAGATCTCGATTTTTAAACGTGAAAAATACTCCTGCATTTTTCTACACTCATTCTCCCACGGAAAAGAATATCACTCCAGTCGTCTTTTCATAAAAAAAAAAGCTATCCAAGAGGAAGAGAACATACCAGAATGAATCAGAATCAACGGAAGTTATAAATCTGTAATATGATGCTGTTTTCTCGCAGGAAACTTTTCTGATTTATCTACATGTATAATTAAATCCAATAAAGACCAAATGGTCCAAAATTAATTATTCGAATTTTAATTATTGATAATTACAATATAAAAAATTCCTTCGCGGAACGAATTAGAATATAATTCGATATATATGATTTTAATATTCGATAGAGATCAATCGTGTATCAACCAATTAAAACATATCAATCAGATATAGCAAGTACATTTTTCATTCTGTGATTTTAATTAGATTTATGACAGAAACGATACACCAAATATTGCACCTATAACATACTTTCCACCTTTTCTAAACAATAACAACCTACACAATAATGCCTGAAACAGTCATAAAAAAATCGATTTTTCAATCGATAAGTGTTTCCCCCTTTTTCCCGTTGTCTTTCTGGATAAAGATCCCTTATATCCTCAACTCACGGCAATTACCAGGTACCATTTTACCGGAGGTTGGGATGGGCCTTGGAGTAGTTCCAGAAATATTGGCCTTCGACTCGGTCCGAGATAAAACTCAAGCCATATCTAAGCGACTAGTTTCAATTCCAAAAACGATTATAATAGAAATACTTTAAACTAAATCAAAATAATTTCCAAGTAAATCTCTTAATACTTTATACTCAAATACTATTTCGATTAACATTATCTTTTTTTCTATTTTAATTCCGGTGTAGTTTCTAATGAAATGTGATTCGAAACATCAAAAGAGAAATTTCATGATAAATTTTAACAAGAATTTTTACATTTAAAACCCAAATATAAAGATCTTCGATACCATTGGAAAAGAACAAAAGACAAGTGAAAAGCTGTGACAGGTTGATAATGCTGTCTTAATGAAGTGTCAACAGAAGTCATCAAAACACGAGGAACAAATGCATGGAAGAACGCTAACTAAGAAAAGAAAGAAAAAAAATGCTAATAAAAAGTAAGATCTGCAATTCAAATTTCCTCCACTTGGGATAAACTTAAGGGGAGAATTTTATTAACGAACGCGCAGTTAATTTCAGACTCGAATTATGCTAATAACCGGTATAAAGACTAAGGAGATTCGACCTTGAGTGTACATCTAACCAACCATTTTAACCTTTGGCTATTTACAGAAAAAAAAGTATATAACAAAATGTCGAATGATTATTTAAGAAGTAGGAAATTCATACTCAAACAACTACTGTGTTTCAAATTCTGTTTAAATGGGTTTAATTACGCAATACGATCTTGCACAGTATGCAAATAAAGAAATACATCAATGAAGGATCATTAGTTCAAAATTTATAAGAGTAGAACAATAGCCGAGATATGAAAAGAATTAAGATCAAGTTTTGAAAACTGACCTCATCAAAAATTCATGAATATTTATGAATTAAATTCCAAAACAAAACAAAATTATCTGATTTCTTTCCAACCGAAGCCATTCGTCCCGAGGCGTAATAAATCACGACAATTTTCCGCCGATATAGCAAATGTTATGGCGACGAAAATTTTAATTTGCAGGAAATTTTTTTCCTTCTTTATTGTTTGTTTATCCAAACGAACATCCGGTTAATCAATGGGATGGTATATTTAGAAATAATCAAATTGTCCAATAGAGGGAAAATGTTTTTACTTCCATCTACAGCACAGGACAATTAAAACAGAAAAAGGAAACTGGGTGGTAAAAAGTAAATATTCCTGTTCCTAACTAGAGAGGAGGGAGAAGAAAGGCTCGCCTGCATATTAATAGGAATCCAAATGAAAGATCGGAGATGGAATTTCTTTTGTCGTTAGACTAACGAGCAAGTATTGAAATTACAGGATGCGGAAAGAAACAGGATTTAATGTGTATAACTCTGGATAAATTATTAAAAACCCAAAACCACCGACGTCGTACGAAGGTATCAACAGAGAACAGCTGTAAACAAGGGAGAAATGTTGACAATGGCTAAGGGGAACTGGCAGCTGGCAGGAAAAGTCATGAATGAAAGAGAAGTGCGCTACAGTACGGAGTTTTTAATGAGAATTTTTCTTAATAAGAATAAACTATTGAGAACACACCGGGAATGAACGAAACTATTTAGAATGACTTTTTGATGAACCTTTCCGCTCTCTTAGATTGAGGCATAATTAAATTAAAAAGCATAAAGGGCAGTCATACTAATCTGCGATTTAACCACGTTTCAATCGAAATCTATAATCACGGCATATTATAAAGTACGCAAAACTTTTAATCTGTACAACTTTCACTTAGAGTTGAAAATATGCTTTTGTAATAGCGTAACTTTTATACCTGGCTTGCAATCTGTACTATGATAATTGTACACTCTTCTTTCTACTCTACTTTCGACCATTAATTACTTATCTTACTAAAGCAAGCTAAGTTTACTTCAAAATACAGTAATCAACTCTTGTACACAGGATATAAATGGAAAGAACTTTAAACGTTAAAAATATTATGTGACACTACAGTTAAGAATGCCAGTCACATCTATAAACTATCCTTAATGTGTTTTACTAGCGAAAAAACAAAGATTAATCGGAATTATTATTTATAGATTTCATGACTGGTATTAATGCAAGAAGGTTTACATAATATTTTAGATTTACAACTTCATGTTTCTCAAGAAAAATGATTCCTTTAAAATCGGGAAAATGTTTAAAAATCCCAATTATAATGTCAGTTAATTTTTTAAATATATTTTTTAATTCATCACATTTTTAAAACAATATACAAATGTTTATGGAGGTCTATCATGTTAACAAGAAGTTATTAATTTAAATATTAATTTCCATTCATCCTATTTACAAGTTCAACACTTTCGATCCATACGTAATACAAATTCGAATCAAAAGTTCATTTCCTATTAATAAATGAACACTTCTAACTTCAAATACCGAAATGTATGTATGATATATACATACATTAATTAATCAAGACTGCAAAACTTTAGATTAATACAAATAAACAAAATCGAGTTAATAAAAATGTTCTAATTCTCTGTTAACTGATTATTATAATCGACAAAGTCAAAAATCACTTAGAAAACTTAGATTTATATATATAAAATTCTCTATTTAATATTTATCATTTCGCATTTTTGAACAGAAATAAATAAAATTTATAGCTACTAATAAACAAACAGTGCCCTATACTATCATTAACAAAACCATAAAATATTTTAACAGGAAAACGCTTCTGCCTTATAATTTTGTTTCGTGATAAGAGCTCATTTTCTAATTCTTTTTTAAAATTAATTATATAAATTATAGGCTGTACACCCGTATAATTAACCGAATTTCTTCGGAATGATAAATTCTTCATTCCGAAAGAGTTCATTGATTATACCGATTGAAATTGTTTATTCATCGAAATTTTGCGCGTTTCATAAAAAGTATTTTGAAAATGAATTTATACATGAAAATGCTTTGTGAATTATATAAATTCAACCAAAATTAAGAATTACTTAACATCATAATTTCAATTTATATTCTGAGAAATTATAATTCTTCCCTGAGACAATATATATATTTAATATACTTACTCAATATATTACAATACGTCCAAAATATTTTGACTTGTATAAAAATTTTTAGTTTTTAATGAACTCTTACTTTTAATTCAGAAAAGATAAAATCTATTGAGGAAAGAGTTAATTAATAGAATTAAATATAGAATAATGAAACCAAAATACGACGAATCTAAATGCTTAATAGTTCTGAGAGTTTCAAAAATAGCGCAAACTCTTTAAAAACACATGAATACAAATAGGCTATATATCATTCACTCAATTAAACGAATAAAAACACCATTACTTGGAAAGAATTCTTGGTAAATATGATTATGTCTTGTCTAAATATAGTTCAGCCTAAATGAGTAACCAGATTTTTATAACGAATTGTTAATCTGGAGTTAAATTTAGCATCTTAGCAAAGCGTGTCTAAAGACATTTTTATAGCACATTCATCTTAGAAATTTATCATCATACATAGACTTTGAATCTAGACTTCACAGGCATATTGTTTTTTATCATCATGATATTTTTTAAAATTAACACACTAATAAAACGAAGTATCACTCCTAGTTATTGTAAGCTATGATTGAAATTATCTTATGCTTTATATTCTGAAATTAAAATTTAGTGTACTGTATCGTAATGATTATGATTTCACTTAAAGAATTTCAGAAACCGGGAGAGGATTTATAATCATAAACTTAGCATCATCATTGTTGTTTAATCTGCTGAAGAACTTCTATAACAGACGAGCGTGCCACTTGTAAGACGACCTACATTTCTTATCCTCTATGCAGCTAGCTATCAGAAGCATCATTATTCATCCTATCTGCACCAAGTTACCATTTCTTTTATACATTTAACGCCATTTTTTATGGATGCATTTATGATATTTCCTATATTCATCATACAGAACTTCAATAAGTCTCTACGGTTCTATATTTTCAGTAAGTTACATGAAGCCTTCTTTAAAAAACTACACTTAACGATTAAAATGTAAACTGCGTACAAAAAAACACGCAAGTTTAGCAATGCTTTTACAAATTTTATAAATAATTCGTATAATTTTACATCAAATATTAACCGCGTATCCCAAATAATACACTATTTAAAATTTTTACTTTCAAATTTAGAAAATGTTTATCGTTAGTCAATTTCCTAAAATTTTCGACTAACTGTGCATATAATTACGCGATTAAATTACAATTATGTAGAGTGATAATATAA